TAGCTTTTTTATTTTTTTTTTCTAGGTTACATTTGGTGAACTTTAAAATTTTTCATGTATATATGTTTATACTTACCAAATTTTTCATGTATATAGGATAAAAAATCCCTTGTAGTGCCTATATTCGGACTGATACCGGTCCGTGCCCTTGAACAACAGCTTTTTATTTTTTTTGTTATTTCATACTTAAGTCGTTCTACTCTCGTTTTAAACCGTAACATTCTAAATGTTTGCAACCAAAGTGGTTAACCTAAATAAAAAAAATTAATTTTATTTGCTTGTGGCTCCAAAAGAGCATTACGTAACATTATCTCTAATAACCTTCAACTTATACGTTCGTGGTTTTGCAACGATATTACTCCGTACCATCGTAAGATAATTTCAAGTAGACAATCGATGGTTTTGTGGTTCCAAGGGACTGTAAGATCGATGTACATGCAATTGGTTTTCGAAGGAATGGATTTAGGACACGAGAAGATGGTAATGTCCTTAAATGAAAAGAATAAAATGTGCACTGGGAGAAGTTTCTGGATTTTTTCTAGTATATTTGGACCAAAATGGGTCTGAAAAATGAAAAGCATGGAAGCTTCTAGATTCTTTGCATATATTCAGACCAAAATTGATCCGTATATATATTCATACTTAATTTAATTTAGCTCTAGGATAAAAAATCCCTCGGAGTGCCTATATTCGGACTAATATCGGTCCGTATATATCTATACGGATCGGGATCGGTCCGTATTTGCCCCTGAACAACAGCTTTTTATTTTTATTTTTGTTATTTCATGCTTAAGTCGTTCTACTCTCATTTTAAACCGTAACATTCCGAATGTTTGCAAGCCAAAGTGGTTAACCTAAATAAAAAAAAATTAATTTTATTTGCTTGTGACTCCGAAAGAGCATTACATAATATTATCTCTAATAACCTTCAACTTATACGTTCGTGGTTTTGCAACGATATTACTCCGTACCATCGTAAGATAATTTCAGGTAGACAATCGATGGTTTTGTGGTTCCAAGGGACTGTAGGATCGATGTACATGCAATTGGTTTTTGAAGGAATGGATTTAGGACATGAGAAGATGGTAATGTCTTTAAATGAAAAGAATAAAAATGTGCACTGGGAGAAGTTTTTGGATTTTTTCTAGTATATTTGAACCAAAATCGGTCTGAAAAATGAAAAGCATGGAAGCTTCTGGATTCTTTGCATATATTCAGACCAAAACCGATCCGTATATATATTCATATTTAATTTAATTTAGCTTTAGGATAAAAAATCCCTCGAATTGCCTATATTCAAACCGATACTGGTTCGTATATATATGCCCTTGAACAACAGCTTTTTATTCTTTTTGTTATTTCATGCTTAGGTCATTCTACTCTCGTTTTAAACCGTAACATTTCGAATGTTTGCAAGCCAAAGTGGTTAACCTTAAGAAAAAAATGAATTTTATTTGCTTATTACTCTGAAAGAGCATTACGTAACATTATCTGTAATAACCTGAAACTTATACATTTGTGGTTTTGCAATGATATTATTCAATACCATTATAAGATAATTTTAGGTAGATAATCGATGCTTTCGTGGTTCTAAGGAATTATAGGATCGATGTACATGCAATTAGTTTTCGTAGGAATGGATTGAGGACACGAGAAAATGGTGATGTCCTTAAATGAAAAGAATAAAAATGTGCCTTGTGAATTTTTCCACAATATATTCGGACCAAAATCGGTCCGAATATATTAATGTGATCCCTTGTATTTTAAATACATATACGAACTGAAATCGATCCGTAATTAATTTATGCGTCAAATTTTTACCGTAAATTTGAATCTTTCTGATTCTGCGCTAATTTATTTATATTTAGACTGATTTCGGTCTGAATATTATTAAGGTTAAATGCTTAATTTGGTCCCTTAACTTTATGAAATGCACATTTTTTGTCTCTCAACAATTTTTTGCACTTTTTTTATCCCTCAACTATACAAAATGCACTCCGTTAGTCCTTTTGTTAATTTGTGTCGTTAACCTTTCTTATGTGGCATTTTATACATTTTTTTTGATGATGTGGAGAGCAAAACTTAAAAAAGTGATGATATGCATAAAACTTCTGCCATGTCACATGCTACCTGGCAAAATCGCACCAAATCCATCCAAATGGGTCCCACATCACCATTAACCCATCGGTTATTGTTTTTCTTCTTTCCATAAACGGTGTTCTTTTCATTTTCAATATTGAAGTTCGACAGAACCCAATAGATCTGGGTTCGATGTAACCCAGCAAATAGGTTTCATCGAACCCAACTCGATTCACTAAACTCAACTGCCCAAAAATCCCTCACAACAACCTGCAATTACCCAAAAATCCCTCAAAATCCCTCACAACAACCTGCAATTGCCCAAAAATCCCTCGCAACAACCT